TAAAACCGTATTTAATTATCCTGCAGTGAAAAACAAAAACAAAGTATTTCTAAAATTTGTTTTAATGTTTAAAGCTTTACAAAGCATTGAAAAAATAAGTTAATGTGTTTTTAGGCTCAGTGATTAGTCTCAATGTGTAACAATAAACTATAGTAATAAACAATTATCTTTATCTGATTTTCTACATCAATCCGGCTATGGATTTCTTTTATGTTTATGATTTGATCTCAGAAACGCCATTTGCAGACCTCCTCTTCCTATCCGAGCGTACGTACTTTAAGGACAATCCCCTATGGATTTCTAATATGTTTATAATTTGTATACTGTAATAAATCAGCTTGTTTTTTTACTTGTATTTTAGGTTGCCTAATGCTCGTTTATTTTATGCAAGATATGGCACTAGTGTATGGTGTGTCTTAATTAATGTTGTTAATAATTATTTCTTATCTATATTTCTTTGAAAGTATATGTGCTATGTATTATTATATTATTTTTTTTATTTTTATAAAGTAAAAATAGAGTAAAAATGGATGAAAGCACTAAAGAAAGAAACTGATGCAAACTAATACAGAATTTTGTCATGCGATCACAGTTGTGTAGTCAGAGAACTATTGACAAAGAATTGAACGAAAAACCGTCAAACAGTAATGAATCAAATCATTATATAACAATAGTTTTTTGTTGCTTAAGAGTATTATTAAAGTCAAATCTGTTTTTTAAACGAATTCATATAGAGTAAAAACGGGTCAAATCGATCACTGAACAAAATAAATCAAGTAACTTTTTTATCTTAAAAAATTTTTAAACTTTTTTTTTTTTAAATAAGATAGAAAATACCAACAAGCACATTATTTATTAACTTTTTTTTTAATTGTATTTGAAAATATGAAAACTAGAAGAAAAAAAAAAGGTCGCTTTTGGCAGGAAGTCTGTTAAACCCGATTAATATAAAATACATTTAATAAATTTAACACTTTATATATATAAATGTAGTAACTTTTATATATATTTTTATATAGCATACAGAAATATGCTTTATATTTTTTATATAATATACAGAAATAATAAAAGATTCAGGTTTACATTTCTTACAACAAAAAAATCTGAACCCATTACAAAATTTTTTTGGCAAACATGTTTTATTGCAGAGACAAGTATTGCAATTTGGATTCTCGCATGACATCATGTCCAAATGTAATTTTTATTACACTTTCTGGATTTAATAACTTTTCTTCATTTGACTGAAGGTGTTGTAATTGGTTCTATATTTTGAGTTACTTATTTTTCTGCAGGGTGCGGCAATGGCATTATGAGTTAGCAGATGGTTTAACACTTTTTAGCTTGTTTTTCAGGTAATTTGAGTTGCTTAACTTCTCTTTTTTTGAGATGATCTGCAACATCGTGTTCTGTAATACGTTGGCCAGCAAATTTTGGAATATAAGGTTGCCTCGCTTTTTTTACTCGATTTACCTCGATTTTTTTCTTGAAAAAAACTCTATAGCTCATTTTCCATTTTGATTTTCATTCTCTTATGTAATGCTCTGCATTTGTCGAACCTCGAAGCTGCTGTTGCTTGTTCAGAAGATAATGCTAAAGACTTTATCGTTTGCAATGGCGTTAAAGACGTCGGTTAATTAAACGTTTCGGAGATAGCTAATGCCTGTTGATTGGTTTTTTTTTGTTAAGTGGAAATGACCCAGTATATTCAAAACCAGCAATAGCGTGCAAACGTGTAAAACACTTACCGCTCTCATACACCTGTTTGAGCAACATAGTAAAATTTTCTTTATCTAAGTTTTTGCATTTTGTGTATTTGTAATACTTGGTAAAAACTGCTTTCCACATATGCTTAACATGGCAATAGACACCTTTGTTCAGTGGCTGAAAAATGTGAGATAAGTGGGCTGGTAGATAAGTTAAAATTATATTGTTTTCCCGACATTGCAATACAGCTGCTAAACTGACATGAGACGTATGTCCATTAAGATGTAAAGTATGAGTACCACTAATAGCTTGACATTCTGGTATATACACTTCTTTCAATCATTCAATAAATGTGTCATGCTCCATCTAACAAGATTTAGAAACTGAACATTTGGTGCCAGTCGGACCACCTAAAGCCCTCTCAGGTCTAAAGTTTCGTTTTGCTTTGTATACCACGAATGGTGGTGTAAAGTATCCAACAGCATTACAGCAATTGTTCGCTGAATAATGGGTTTTTTCATTATTACCAGTGAGTTTCAAAACACGCTTTGCACCTTTTTGCCATACTGCAGTTGCTTTACCTTGATCACCACAGAAACCCGTTTCATCACAATTCCAAATGTGACAACCAGAAGTTATCCCAAACAGTTGATATTGTTTAGTGAAAACTTCAAAATAATTATCAATTATTTCTTGCGTACAAAAAGCGGCTCTAGCAGATGCTAAAGTGTGAGTTTTTCTTGTGGAAATTTCTTTAGACCATCAGTTTATAAATGCCTAAAACTAGTCTTTGCTAGGTCTGCCGTTTTTAAATAGGTCTGATTGATTTGTACAAACAAGGTAACCGCATACGAAGTCCATGACATCATTTCGTGTTAAACCATAACCCCAATCACATAGGAACTTAAACGTATGCACCATAATCAGGGCCGACGACACGGGTTTCGAAGTGGGGGGGGGGAGCACAACCGTTAATTTTTAAAAAATGTCAAGTCTTAAAAAATATTATCTTGAATTTTCTTATACTTCAAAAAAAAAAAAAGGTCCTTTAAAAAAAAAGTGTATGTGTGTGTGTGGGCGAGAAAGGGAAGCCCCCTGGCCCCATGGTGTTGTCGGCCCTGATAATTGACTTTGTTTGCTGTGAGAGTACGGTTGTTGATCCTGATCCCTTGAAGCTAGCACTGTTGCTGTTCTTGCGAACTATTAGAGTTGAAAATGGAATGCCATATTTGAATGCAGCTTTTCTGATTAAAGTATTTTTTTCCTTTATATCATTTAACGCAGCTTCTATATTTTCTTCATTGTATGACTTTTTACTTGGTGTCATCTTGAAATTGAATAATTTGTTAATAACATTAAGTCATTTTGTAAAATAACTTTATATAGGAAAAACCTGGAACTAACATATGAGAAAATTCAATAAATTAATTCATCTAGGTATCTAATTTAAAAGTTTACATACTACTTAATAAAGGAATTTAAAGTAAATATGTGAATCGGTTTTACCAGATGTGATCGGTTTTACAAGAAAAAATTTAATATTAATTTTTCTTATTTTCTTATCTAATTTTTAACTATAAAACGAAAAAAAATTATGTAAATGGTATTAAAATTTAATTTTCTACAAGATAGAGGTAAAATTATTTTTTAAACGAATTATATGGTTCCCGAATTATTGCGGTAGCAAATAAAAGAATAAAGCAAACTTTTACGACTCTCTTTTAAACTTTTATAAAAATAAAATGGCTGAAAATGGCTTGAATTTTATTTTGACACATTTGAATGATTCTCTTTTTTCTGGTGTTTTTATTTTTTAAATATTCCTATCAGTTCCGGTTTTATTAAAATTTTTGATCGGTTCAACCCGCTTTACTCTAAACTAAATATGTCCGACCAAATATTCATACTCCTAATGAAACTTATTGCCTTTACATCGAACTTAATACCAATAGTATCATAACCTTTTTACGTTAAATAAAAAAATGCAATTCTCGCTTTATTCTGGGTTTAATATGGGATTCCCTGTCAAGATCCCCGACTTATTCCCGGTAAGACCCAGTTAGGTTCCACTGAAAAAATACAATGGAACCCATCTTGGATACCCATGTGGGGTAGCATTTTTGTTGAGCAGATGTCAAAGAGAAAGTTGTATACCCAGTTGACCAACGCAACGCTGGTTGCAAATCAACTTCCATCTGAAATCTACTTGTTATTGAGTAATAAAAACTTTATTATTAGCAATCTTATAAAGTATTTTTAATCACAAGATAAAGTTTAAACTTAATCAAAAGTTTTGCGTTAATCACAAGTTTAAAGTTAATTGCAGGCGTGACATGGTTTTATTTGTAAATGCAGCATTTGTATTATCGTTCTAGAGAAGTCGCCAGAAATTGAAAATCTACAACGCCACATTTCTAATGATGTTGTTTATTTTTATTTTAAGAAAGCATATGATTTTGCTTCACATTCCAAATTACTAATGAAACTTACCGCTTACGAAATAATTTACAACCTTCTGAATTGGTTAACTGTTTTTACGCACATGAGATCAGAAATAAAGTTTTTTAAATTAATTAAAAAGGTAATTTAAAAAACTTTACTTCCAATACTATTCGTGTGTGCTAGGACCTACTCTAATTGTTTCATTAATAAAATTAATAAAAAGTTTGATGTTAAACTTTTTGATTTGATTTAGAACTATTATGAGGACATTGAACTTTGATGAACGTGTTAGTAGTATGATCTTTACACAAGCTGTAATTGTTTGTACGAATAAAATTTTATTTCAAAATTAAATGAAAAATGAAAAATGTTTTTTTTACGCAATTGCTATTCGAAATCAAAAATTATCTCATCATGTTTATATTACAAATAACCATGAATTTACTCATATTTTAATTAGAGATCTTGGAGTTATCATTGATTGAAATTTGAAATCCCAAACTAAGTTCCACCACGTACTGTTGGCATATACAAATTGGTATTTATAAAAAATTGGTAAAAACTATTTATCGAGAATGTTGTAACTGAGAAGAAAGTCACAGCATTATAGATAAATAAAATTGTAATCAAAAATCACAAGTTAATTATTTTATTTAACTGTTTTTGTTGATAGATACATAAAATAATTTAAAATAATTAATTAAAAAAACTATACAAAAAATTATAATAGTTAATGCGTTAAGTAATTTTTGCCCCAGTAATCATGTAATTCAAATGAATACGGTGATTGAAATGATTACGGTGATTGAAATATTTTTCTGATACGATTATGATGTCACTGCTTTAAAACATTGCTATTGCTTTTTTTGATGTAACAGTTTAAATTCACCCAAATGGCACGCGTCGTCCGGACGACGTCTGGTTGAAGCCTCAAGGACGCCAAGACGTCCAACGGACTTCCCGCTGACGACGCATGGCCTCTGGGTATTGTTGTTCAGTGAGTGGGACTAAATATAAACAAATTTTACCATATTATTATTATTAAAAAAGAGACAGAGATATAATCTCACAATGACGGGAGGTTTAAGCTTGACAAACAAAGCAGCTTGACAGAATTTAGCAGGCCCATAGAAACAAAAATTTATTAAGGGGTCAATGCTCGATTAAAGGACCCCAAAAGTGTTTTATGGCTTTTTATTTTTTCTATTCATTTTTTCAGTCATTTTTTTCAAAATTATTTATTTGAAAAAGTATTAATAGAGAGGGAAAATACTCTGTTAACCCGCCGGTCGCTACGAGCCTGTTTAGATTTTCAGTAAATAACTTTTGCTGGAGTTAAAACTTTAAGTATGATTATGTCAAATGAAAACTTTGGCAAAAAATGTTGTAATTAGAGTCTTTGAACAAAAATACGCAAACTTTAAGGTTACAATTTTTCACTATTTTTTGGAATGTTTAAAACTTCCCCTGGTCATAACTTTCAAACACTCGGAGACGATAGATGAAATTTAAAAATTTTAAATAGTAAATTATTAGTATAAGAATATTTTATAAACTCTTTACATGGTTAGTGATGTAAACGTTTTTGGCTAATTTTATCCTTAATTTGAAATAATGATGAATTTAAGTCAATGCCATCACTGCATTATTTTCTTTATGCGGTTATGCTTTAAATTAACACTTTAAAACTAATAAAATAATCATTAATGCTAAATTGAAATAAACAGGCGGTTTTAAAATATACTTTCTATAATTTATATATATGAAATTCTTATAATTGTTTTTCTTTCTAAAAATGTTTGATAAGATAAATGTATTTTTTAATTTACTATTAAGTTAAATATATTGTTAAGTATTTATTACTAAAATATTAAAGAAATTCAGTTTAATTGATTAAATAAAAATTCCGTTTGACATTTTATATTATATTTACAAAAGGTTGCTTTTTTATTTTTAAATAAATAAAGCTTTCAAATCTTATTAAAAATATAAAAAGAAAAAAAAAAAAGTTAAGAAAGTTTGTTAAAAAGGTGGAAATTTAAGAATGAAATATAAGAATATAAAAATAAAACCATTTTTTTTTCTAGTTGAGACATGCACACCTGTCGTTAAATTTCTATAAATAAATAAAAATCTATTAAACACTATTTTTTAACATTTTTTTTATTCTTAAGTGCATAAGTTTAAGCCTGATGATTTCTTAAGTTTTTTTTTCTCATTAATAAGTAAAAAGTTATAAAATATGATTGTTTTTTGTACTTTAACACGGTTTGTGCTAAAAAAAAAAATAATGCAATTGCTGAAACATTAAGCAATGAAGTTACTATTTCATGATCGGTACAAACTACAAACTTATGAGTGATTATATCAAATGAGCACATTTTGCAAAAATTATTGGGATTGGAGTCTGTAAACAAAATTACCCAAATAATATGTTCATATTATGTTATGATGTTTATAGTGTTATACTATAATGCTAATGTTAATAATAAGTATAATATTATGTAATAAAGAATAAAAAGGAGTTAACGCTATGGGTATAAGCTAAATTTGTTTAAATTTTTCATAACTTTTTGTTGTTGTTTCTGAGTTGATTGGAAAATAATATGAAATTAATGTATTTTTATAATGATTTAATTATGTTAATTATTGAATCAAAGAAGAAAAAACCATAAATAATATTCATTATTCATGATATAATTAGCTTTAAATAATATAATAGCTATTTTTAATAAAAAAATCTTTACTTGTAATGGCAATAACTAAAATGTTTAAAAAAATTCTTGATACCAGCTGTTTCGTCAATGATAGTAATGAATGCAACAAATTCCTTTTTGTCAATTGTTTACTCTTAAATCTAGATTTAAACTAATCTATTCGCTTTTTTTTTACTTAAAGTTTAACAGGAGTATGTGAGTATTGCAACGATTGCAATCTAATCGTTCTTAAACAACTTGTTACGTTTATCCACTCGTTTGTAAACAAATTGTCTCGTTTACATTAACAATTTTTTGAAGTCAATAAGTTAAAAAAACTCAAAATATGTTTTGCCCAACACTATATGCAAGTATTTTATTTTAAACGCTAATACTCTTATATCAATAATATATAAGTAAGTATATAATATATTTTACTTATATTAAATACAAATATATTCAATTAAAAATAATTTTTCATTAATAAAAGTTACTACATACCTTTACGAATTTAAAATTGTATTTTTATTAACTTTCTAAATTCATACGAGTTAAACTTATTTTTAATACACAAATTTTTTTCAAAACAAAATTTTCATCAAAAGTTCAATTGTTAGGTATTTTTTAAAATTTTTAAACTTCACTTAATGCATTATAGGGAGTTTTTGCAAATTCAAATGTATTTTTAAAATAGCATTACTACTAATGCTACATACAAATATTTACATAGTATTTGTTTGTTAAATTTGTTAATTCATACATTTTATCAATATTAAAAGCATATTTTTGTAAGATAAAACTATTTTTTCAAAATACAAACAATGAAATTTGACACCTGGTTTATCTTTCATATTTTTTTGTTTTATAACTTTTTTTTTTTACATTAAAACAAAGCATTTTTGACACAATAGTTTTTACAATAATAACTATATTCTTTTTGTAAGGTGATATAAGAAAAAATGAGACTTTAAATTCCAACACATATTCTGAGCATATTTTTGAAATTATAATAATTGTGAAATGAATCTAACTTGTGGAATATGTTAGGGTTTAATAATAATAATGATTCAAATGCTGTTAAGCGCCAGGCAATATCTATGACAGCCAACACAAAAGTTGTCTAAAAGTTTAATTGCAACCTGTTTTTCTTGTTCAGTATTATCTGCAAGTCAAACAGCTTAAGTCTGTGTATAACTGATTTATTGACTGATGTAGACTCCACTACCGATTCCGGTAAATTATTCCATCCGAAGACAAACCTGTTTGTAAAGAAGTGTTGTCTACTTAAACAATTTTTAATAAACTCTGATTTAACACGATGTTTATAACCTCTTATATTGGATGCTGGACCTGGTGTACTGATTGAACGCAATTGTATCTGGACTTTCTTCATATCAATAGATTCAAAATCTTTATATAATTTATATTGTTGTATAAGGTCACCTCTTAGTCTTCGAACTTCTAAAGTTGTTAAATCTAATATTTTTAGTCTTTGATTATATCTCAGATGTCTTAACTCTTGGTATTAATTTAGTTGCTCTTCCCTATTATAAAAAAGATATCAAAGAACTTTTTCAAGTTCTTTGATATCTTTTTTATTTTAGGGATTCCAAGATTGAATCCCAAACTCTAAATGAGGTCTAACATACGTTCAATAAAGCATTTTCATGAGGTACTTATCTTTACATCTAAAAGTGTTATTTAATATTGCAAGCATATTGTTTGCTTTACTGGCAGCATTCCTTACTTGTCTTTCCCATTTCAAACCCTTTGATATAAAAATACCTAAATCTTTTTCAAGAGTAGATTTTTCAATTTCTTTTAGTTCGCCATCATTTTTCATGAAATAAGAATATCTTTTATTACTTGCACCAAAGTCCATTATTTTACATTTCTCAAAATTTAAACCCAGTTTGCATTCAACAGACCAATCTTCAAGTTTTTTTATGTCATTTTAAAATGATTTTGAATCAACCTCGTTATAAATAGGAGCGATTATTTTATTGTCATCGGTATAAAAACAACATTTATTAAGAAGTCTGCTTGGTAAATTGTTTATGAATATCAAGAAAAGGAGTGGGCCAAGTAAAGAACCCTGTGGTACTCCACTTAACACATCAACCCAGTTTGCCTTGCATTTTCCCATTCCCAACTTGTTTTTTCCTATTCGATAACAATGATTTAATCCATTTAAGAGGCATACCAACAATACCGGACGCATAAACCTTATTACATAATTTTATGTGTGATACTCTGTCGAATGCTTTTTGAAAGTCGGTATACAAAACGTCAATTGGAATAGCGTATAATAATGCGCTTGTTAAGGTATCAAGAAATTCTTCTAAATTCGCTGTACAACTCTTACCTTTTAGAAAGCCATGGTGTTCCTTTGCAAATACCTTGTTTGTTATTAAATGCTTGATGATATTATCAGCAATTGTTCTTTCTAATATTTTGCATGGTATTGACGTCAGAGATACTGGTCTGTAACTTGTTGGTTTCAACTCACTCCCTTGTTTCAATATAGGCATTATATTAGCCACCTTCCAAATATCTGGTACAGTACGTTTTTGTTGTTAAGGATAACAACAAAAGGGGGTTCTTTATCAGTTTTCGTTTTGAGCTTTATAACTTGTTTAGGTTCAATCGTTGCGTTTATTGAGTTAAATACATCAACAATTGTTTTTCTGTCTTCATCTTTAGCATTTGCTGTGTTTAAATCTTTTGATGCAATAACTCCAAAAATTATAAGATTATTTTCTTGTTTTGTTCTTTCTTTTGTTTCGGCAGCAACAACATTCATATTATGTAATTGCTCCTCTGACTTTTTTACTGATGCATTTCCACTAACAACGCTTGTCCAAGATACTGAGGTTTATTAACTAATAGATTCAACATTTTCTAAAACTCAAATCCTTTCTAACAACTTTAGGTTACTAATCATTAGCTCTTCGATCGACTTGTTTAATGCACCGATTATTTTTTCTTGCTCTGCTTTAAAATTATGGAATTCGGTTGTCTGAACATTTACCATGATTAAAAAAAAAAAAAAATTAAGTTAACGAAACTTTTTTCTACTTTTGATTTTATTTAACTTGTTTACAATTTTTGAATAAAACACGTCTTCACGCTGTAAAGGTGGATGTTTTTTTTTATGGCGGAAGCTTTATTTATAACTAATAAAATCTAATTTTTTTTTTTTTGCGTACATTTCTTTCTAAAAACTCATATGTAAATGTCCAAGTGGTATATTTCAGTTATAATATCACTGTTATACTCGTTTTTGGTTACTCCAAATTGCATTTCCACAAAAATCTAAAAAAAAAAAGTCATATTTTTAGATAATTTTTAGTAATTGGCGTTTAACAAGTAATTAGGCCGGGTGAATAAAAATGAGCAATTGCTTTTACTCAGTAATTGGTCAGCTTTATGCAAATAAAAACATAAGGAATTTGACTTAAGTTTGTATTCACGTAAAGCTGAGCAATTACTGAGTAAATTGCTTAACTTTACTTGAATAAAAATGTGAGCATTACTCCTGAAGTTTTTATTCACGTAAAGCTGACCAATTACTGAGTAAAAGCAATTACTCATTTTAATTCACCCGGCGTATTGATAATTCTATTTTAACTTTTTAATGTTTTATTATAAAAAATTCAAAGTCATATAATGTTAGCAAATATAGAAAAAAAATCGAAAGGAAAATAAGAACTTATAAACGTAAACCCGAAAATCGATCGTGTGCATCATAATCAGCAAAAGTCAAGCAAAATGCTTTATTGGATATCTCAACAAATAGAATTTCAATCTTCAAAGAATCAAAGTTGTATGGTATACTATCTGTATATATGCATATATATAAATATATATATATATATATATATATATATATATATATATATATATATATATATATATATATATATATATATATATATATATATATATATATATATATATATATATATATATATATATATATATATATATATATATATATATATATATATATATATATATATATATATATATATATATATATAATATATATATATATATATATATATATATATATATATATATATATATATATATATATATATATATATATATATACACCATATGGTTCTCTACACTACAAGGTCAAGCTGAGACATAAAAAACCTTAAGGGAAGACCAGTTTAAAGCTTGATACTAAAAAAAGATAATACAAATTCTTAGATTCTTGACAGATTGAAAATACCTTTGGAAAGTATGGATGTACGTCATCTAGTGAACAAATATTAAGACAGGATGTCTAAATATTCTTTCACTAAGTGAATGAAGTTAATTTTAAATTTTGAATCAGAGACTGTTGTCTCTTATTCAAAATTTAAAAACTACTTCCCGCGCCCTGATGGAGTTGAAAATTCTTTATTGTTTACTACAATCTGGCTGCAAGAATCGGTGACAATTTAATACCAGCAAGAGCTGAGATTAATTTAATAGAGATTCAGTTTGTCATTATTATGATAAATTACACTTCAAAACATTTCTAACAGTAATATAGTTAACTATGATGAAAAAAATTTGAGTGGTGACCCAGGCTCTATTACAGTAATTTGAAAACGTGGTCTTAAATGTGTAAAAAGTTCAGCATTCCATACAAGCTGTTAATATTTTGTACTACGGGAGTGCAGTTAGTTTCTTTTTCACATGGTTGTTTAAAAAGATGGAAACCGCTACAGCCTACACACATTGCAGCCCTCCTGGAAGTTTATTTGGCAGTTCAAAATCTGACTGGCTCAACTCAAGAACATTTGAGCGTTGGTACTCTGAAATTTTTTATTACTTGAAACAAAAAATCTTACAGGAACAAAGTTTGTTATTGTAAATAGTTTAGCTTCATATTTTTTATTTAATATTATCAAAGCATGCTCTAAGAATAATATCCGTTTTACATTTTTAATTCAAAAACTTCACACATATTCTGCAACCAATTGAGGTTGCTGTTTTCAGATCTTTTAAAGTCAATTGGAAAAAGATTTTACAAACATCGCAAAAATAAAGCAAGAATCAAGGGTTCAATTTCAAAAATAATATTTCCCAATGCTTTTGAAAAAAAGCAGAATTATCTAAAAAAAAAAAAGTAATTAATAGCCGAAACCAAAGCTTCCTATATCCAATAAATTAAAAAAAAATTTTAAAAAGGCTTTCAGATGTCAACAAAAGTTTTGGCAGTAAGATGATAAAAGAGATATTCAATGAAGGTGTAATAAATTTTTTATAGAAGCACCATGGCAATGGTGCAGCCGGAAAAGCCAAGAAAAAATATAGGGAGCAAAATTGCACCAGGCAAAGTAATCACAGATTCAAAGAATCAAAACCATTTTCAAAAAATGTTGAATCTTTATTGTTTGAATCAGAAGACACTGAATTTAGTAGTAGTGGTTAATCCAATAAAAGTAATAACAAGACAGATGTTAATTTAAATCAATCAATAAGTTGACATGTAATAGTTTATCCTGAAATAGCCAAGAGAAGTGCAGCTTTAAATTACTTTTGAACAGATTTTTGAGGTTTAAGCAAGACCGAAAATTTTTAATATCAGGTTTCTAAGAAGAGTTAAATATCCAAAAATCTGATTAATTATTCAATTTAAGAAAACGTTGTTGTTGCTATACCTTTATGTAGTAAAAATGTTGTTGCTATACCACATGTAGTAAAAATATTGATGCAACCCGTTAAGTATGTGTAACTGCAGATATCAGAAACATTAAGTAAACAATTGATCTTAGGGCGTTTGATTTAAAAACATTGACACTTGATCTTTCAAACATTTGTTTTTATAACTAATATCAGCTGTTGAGATTTAGTACATAGTAGTATTTAATTACAAGTCACCAGTTGTTAAGTTATTTTTGTTTTAGATATGCCTAACAAAGATACAGTGCTGCCGAGAGGGGGGATCGCGAGGGACAGTTTGTCCCGGGCGACAGATATCCAAGGGGCCCAAATGAAATGAAGGTACCTAAAAAAAAAGGTCTTTCATATATATCATAGGGAAAATTTGACAAATAAGGGCGCGTAGATTTTACGCTATGGATGTGTAATCACAGAAGAAATTCTTTTAAAACAGTTAAATTTTACTTTTGTCTTTGATTAATAGAGTAAATTGGTATAAAAGTGAACAATTTAGCAATTTGCTTCTTTTGCGTTTATTGAAAACTATAACAAAAAATCTTTAAAAATGCGAAACACGATATTGTAGAGATTTTTGTGCTTTATCTAAAGGTGTAAAAATTGTTGAAAAAACTTTATTTTTGCTGAAGCAAACTTTAAAATTCTGATCCAAGTAAAAAAAATAAAAATTGTAATGTAAGCAAATGTGGTAGTTTTTGTTATCTGTCTAAAACTTTTTAAAAAAAAATGACTCGTACTTACATTTTTACAAAGCAAACAACTTACACTGAAAAGCAATTGCTACATGCAGTGGAACAAATCAAAAAAGACGAAATATCACTCAGTAAAGCTTTAAAGGCATACAACATTCCAAAGACAACTTTTTACAAACATGTGCACAACAAAATCCAATCAAATGATAGATGTTTAACTCCCGCGTTAAGTACAGCATTTGAATTTGTTATTGTTTTTCTGTCAAGCATAAATTGCAAAATTTACCACCAGGCTTGAATGGCTCCGCTTGATCAAGAATATTCCATTTTAATATAAGTTCTATACCTTTAATTTTGCATTCCCACACAAATTTTGAAAGTTAAAAGGAATTGGCCTTACTTTCATAAACAAAGAAGTTTTTATGCTTATACCACCTGTCTTTAAACGTTTTCTCAGTAAGCCCAACGTAATAATATCCTTCTTCTTCTATGGTGAATATATATATATATATATATATATATATATATATATATATATATATATATATATATATATATATATATTCCGGAATATATATATATATATATATATATATATATATATATATATATATATATATATATATATATATATATATATATATATATATATATATATTCCGGAATATATATATATATATATATATATATATATATATATATATATATATATATATATATATATATATATATTCCGGAATATATATATACATGGAATATATATATATATATATTCCAGCAAATCCGGTTCCGGCCGTTCTGTGACAATATAACTACATTTTGTAAAAAGAAACCAAGGTTATGGGCAGAATTCAACAAAACCAATGAGAGAATATGTATTTTTTATGGCCAAGGCCAAAATAATCAAGGCAAAGGCCTCATTTTTTGGCCTTAAGGCAAAGAGAAGGTCAACTCCAAGTCCAAGGACTATCAACTCTGTCTAACAGGTGTGTTAGCTTAAATCTTATAGATTTTTAAACCCTTTCTTACAAATCGTTGTCCTTAATGGACAGCATTAATCTTTATTTCCTGTAAGTTAATATCCTTGGCCCTATACTTTTTTTTAGTTTACATTAACGATCTCCACGTAATTCTCAGATCTAAGGTAGAACTTGAGC